CCTGTCTAATACCCTGCACTTTTGAATTAATGCTAGGCACACACACACACACACACACACACATATACACACACAGTGGCAGTGACATCCAGCTCCTGTCGAGGTGTAAATCTCAGACACTAAAGCCAGGTGTGGAGCAGCAAGCATCAAATTGTGTCTAAACCAGACTACATCCACAATCAGATCCGCTGACAGCCACACAGAGCAGAGTTAAACTGACAGCTCACTCTGCATATTTACACGACGCACACAACAGCAGATGTTAATGCTGTATTATGTTTTAAAAATAAGGCTGTTTCACTGGAGCTGCCGAAACAAAAAGTCGAACATGCACAGATGATCTGGGTGGGCCACAGTGAGCAAACTGAACACCTCATAGAGTGCCGCAGGAATGAATCCTAAAACCAGTAAACGAGTTGCCATTTTATCACTCCCGGTTCCCTCGTCTTGAAGTCAGTGGGTCTTTTAAATTGGGTTTTTGGTTCGATGCCTGAAATAAGGTCTGTGGTTAACACAAGCTTAAGAGACTTTCTTGTTTTGTTTTACGATATTAAACACATCAGTAAATATCCCACTTGTACATTTTGAAGCTTTTACGTGGCCTAAAAAAAGGGGTCGCTAACAAGGTGGCTAGTTTAGACAACAAACGTTACCACACCAAGCACAGCTTTACAGCCTCGCAGTGGTGGTGACATTACATCATGCAACCATAGTGTACCTGGTTTATAACCTGATGTAAGCTTTTTACTTCTGGCATTTGCATTTATACTTCAGGGACCAGGGAAGGGAACCAGGGCAACGCTGACATCTGAGTCCGCCTGCAGAAAAATGTCATCCCTGCTGCAGTCTGTAGCTGCTTTTTCTGGAAGTTTTTGGGGCTGGTTGCACAAAACACCTGAAGTTACGATTATCCTTAAAGGCCTAGTTCAGGTTTCCTCATAATAAATCAGCACAAAACACCCTTACGCCTTCTCCTTCAGATTTCCTTAAAGAGGAACTAATGTTTTTTTCAACCTGGACCCTATTTTCAGATCTACTTTTGTCTAAATGAGTGATAGGATGTTCAATATGTGACATTTCTCCAGTATGAAGCTAGGGCTGACCTGCCTGCAGCCCGTGAGCGTGCGCTATATTAAATAATAGGGCACTCAGACAGCGTCAAACAACGTCAAAATACGTCCACTAAAAGTGCATTTTTTCACACAGATAGGCTCGGATTGTTAGTATAATTATCCGAAAACATAACGGAAAGGTGAAATGAACGTCTGTGTTTACCTTTAGCTGCATTTGGACATGTTCTGGATGAGCCATTTGAATTTGATGACCGCCCGTATTTATTTGAACACGGAGTACACGGACGCAGAGCTCGTTGAAACTGAAGAGCGGATGAGGAGAGAGAGGGAGCAGCAACAGGCAGAGGAACATGTCTGAATCCAGCTAAAGGTAAACACAGACGTTCATTTCTCCTTTCCGTTATGTTGTCAGATAATTATACTAACAATCCGAGCCTATCTGTGTGAAAAAAATGCACTTTTAGTGGACATATTTTGACGTTGTTTGACGCTGTCTGAGTGCCCTATTATTTAATATAGCGCGCCCTCACAGGCTGCAGGCAGGTCAGCCCTAGCTTCGTACTGGAGAAATGTCACATATTGAACATCCTATCACTCATTTAGACAAAAGTAGATCGGAAAATAGGGCCCTGGTTGAAAAAAACAGTAGTTTCCCTTTAAAATGCTTACCTAAGTATTTATGGTTTCTCCTTGTCTTCGCCTTAAACTTAAGGAATCCCTTGACTGTTGCACAAAGGACCTTAGCAACCAAAACAAGGTTAAAAAAAAAAAAAAGCTTAAGGTATCTCTGACGCTATCTTAACTGCGACATGATCGAGTTATTGATGGTAACTGGAAAAAACTAACAGCCTGAGAAGAGTGTTCTGTGACCAGGAGAACCCAGTGGATACGCTTCTGATTTTACACTTTAGATTTGACTGAATTCATTTTCGTTGTTTCTTCCTACAATCGTTTTCTGATTTCTGGTATTTGGGGATCCAATTTACTTTGTAGTGTGTGCTTTCTATGACTGTAGTCCTCCAGAAGTATAATCTTTTCCTCCTCTGATCAATATGGTTTTCTTGTCTTCTTTTCCTCTGCCATTTTTTCACCATCTAACTATGAGACAACTTTGTGAGACAATAACAGGCGTCACAAGCACGAGTCCAAAAGAACAAACAATCTTCATGGAAACTTGTAGCGCTGTAAAATCTCTGTCAATGCAGTAAATGAGTTTTTCCTTAACAAAGGAAACTTTATAAGGAATTCTGTGCAACTGTGTAAATCCCTCAGCTAAGAAGAAATTTAGCCTTAAGTGTCATAGTTAAGGAGAAAACTTGAGGTGTTTAGTGCAACTGGTCCCTGGGATTTAGAGTTACAGTTGGTAACTTTAATTAAAAAAAAAAAAAAAAAAAAAGAGCATAGTATTGGTTCAGGTAGGACACAGTGTCAAGCTCAGCTCACATCTCAAACAGCCCAATCACCTAATGGAGCAGCTGATTGATGGAAGGGAGTCAGCTGATAGATCACATGAGTCCTTTCTATGCAACCGATTGGCAAATCTCATTCATGGCGCCCTGTTTAAACTGCTCTGGCCTGCCTACTGTTGCTGCTTCCTCTGCAAGCTGCTTTGCAACCTGCCTCCACCCCAGCTCCTTCTTTTAAAGCTGTGTCTGACTTATCAATGTCATTTCTGTTTGTCACTGATGCTGCTCTGTTCTGTTCCCGGGGGGTCTTTGCTGCTGCTCTCCCTGACTTAGGCTTTCCATGTAGGCGCATGGAAGGGCAGGGAGGTGTGCTCTCTCCAGCTTAAAGCTTTCCATGTAGGCGTGTGTAAAAAGCTCACTGCGTAGGCCTAGGAAAGGCAGAGAGGCCCCAGAACAAAGCCATACCATCAAATATAATACTGCAGTGGAAATAAAGTTTTCTTTCACTAAAGTGTTCCTGACTGAAATAAGTTTCAGCAAAACAGAACGCAGCCAGCTTCCGTTTTTTTGTGCAACACTTCCGGTCCAGCACTCTTGACCACTGTGTAAACGTCCCACGGTATTTGCTACCGTGACATTACTGCACGCATGGAAATGTTTACATTACTGAAAGCAATTTTAAGGACTAACTTCAAATACTTGAAGTTAATCGTTAAAGAATAAATCACCTGGAAAGCTTTAAAAGGTAATTTAAAAGGTAACTTAGCCTACACAGAGCGGTGGAAATGTCCGCGCAGCTGCAGACGGGTGCGGCTGGATGGTTGATGCGTACATGGTGAATCAGGTGCTATCAGAGCCGATCCGCGCATCCCTATGGCTCAATAATCAACTCAGTCAATAAAAACAACCCGTCCTGTGTTAGGAGTGTATGTCGCTGACAGAAAGAAAGAAAGAAAAGGGAAAAAAGATAGAAAAGCAGCGTACACCTCGCATATTTATTTCTCACAGTTGCGCACACGTGTGGCTGGCATGCAGAAGCACCGTCTATGTGTCTGTGTGTCGAGGGTGCGAGCCGCAGCTTCAGCTGCTCAGGTAGAGAGGCTGTGTAGCCCGGTGTGTTTTTTCGCTGATTCGGTTCTGCAGGTTCTCTGCTGGTACACTGGAGACGGGGATCAAGCAGTTTGTCTCACTCGGGATAGATTGTGCTTTTTTGATTCATAGTTTTTGATTGACGCGCAATTTGTTCACGTTTAGAGGGAATTATTTTTACCAGCAATTACTGGATAACGAAAACATGGGCACAGTTATCTATATAAAATACACAGACTAACTAATTAACTAGCTGATTGACTAACATAAACAACTGAAAATTGAAAAAAATTAGATTGCACCGTTAGCTCCGGTAAGGGAAAGCAGCTGACCAGAAGTCATGCACAAAAACACTGAAGTTGATCACTATTTACTTCTGTGTTTGAAAATAAGGTGGATAGCCTGAGAGTAGTATGGGAGACAGATAGTCTGCAAAATTATGTGGCTCTGCACCCTCACAGTCCTCCCAATGGCTTTTGCAAGAGTCCTCCATGGAGAGAAAGATTGTGACTCGGCCTTCATGTTAACAACACTCAAGCCAAAACCAAATACCGCCCACCAGCCAGAGCAAACTTTCTCATTCCACATTAAAATATGTTAGACACAGTGACCATTTAAGAAAATATAACAAAAAAATTTTTTTTTAAGTTACCAACTACAACTTTAATTTTCCTTTATTTACACAAATGGAGGCAAAATGGCATTTTTAGTGAGGCTGTCCTCTAACGGCAGCGCTAAGTATCCTGAGGAGTGTAGGCATTATATCTCTTGTTCAAGGATACTGTGACAGGTATGGCCAATTGGGGAATCGAACCTGGACAATACCTGTCAGAGGATCCTTGAGAAAGAAATCATTACGCTCTGTCGGCCACTTTCCCTTGAGCTGCAAGCACAGTCGCTCTGCAACAACTGAATTTACAATTTATCTCTCCATAGAGTGTCCTCTGTTTATGACAGGTCCTACTGTTGTAAATCTCTGCATTGTCAATATATCTTTTTTGTGATTTATGTCATTAAGGGGATTCTATGATCTCAATGAACAGTAAGAAAAAGATGGCTGGCACACCGATTGACAGAGGGAAATGAGAGATTAAAAACAAGTGGAGGAATGACATCAGTAGGACAGCAAAGCCTGCATAGATCCAGCCGGTCAACCAGAAAAGCAGCCATGTAAGACTGAAAATGCATAATCCTGGAGCATAATCTAGAATCAGTGTTGTCGCTGTTTTCTGAGAGGCAGACAATGGGATAGCCATGTTCTCTCATCTACAGAGGCCTTGTTCTCAGGGTTTCAATTAGGGCCTCCTGATTTCCCGGGGGGCCCCTCCCTCTCGTGGAGATGCCTCATTAACAGAGAAAACACACATACACAGAAACACTGCATGCAGGCACACACACACACAAATACACACACATTTGCGTCTGAGCTTACCCCTGACTTCTCATCAAAGATCTTGATCCCTCCAAAGGAAACGGTCAGAAACACCTTCTGTTTGTGTTCTCCTTTAGACCGTGCTGCTGCAGCTATACCCTGAGGACAGAGACACACACACACACACACAGAGCAAACAGCCATGTCAGAAGCAGGTCAGAAACACATGAGTAGCGTCATTGGAAGATAAATCCATGAAGAGCATCTCTTTTGGCTCCCGTCTCTCCCAAAAGACCATTTTCTTGTTGGATTATCCATTTTTCTTTTACTTGTCAATAACAGTCAATATAACGCTCTACAAAATCAACAATAAACATCCTGAATTGGAATCACTCTGTAATCAGTCAGCTAATGGTCAAAGACAAATTCATCAGAGGTGGGGAGATCATTCTGCCATCCACGGTAGCCTCAATAATCCATATTTTTTCCGTTTCCACTGTGAAAAGTTGTGGATGGTACCAATGGAGCCGTTCTGTACCGTCCCCATTAGTGCTGCTTGATAAAAATGTGTGATTGCGATTTGAGTGGACAATATCGCAATTGCGATTACAATATAATACATAAATGGTATCAGAAGTCTTCTTGCTTGATTCATTGTTTCCCCTACATTATATAAGGAGGGCACTGACCTGACCTGACATAGTCAGCCATCAACAGACTGAGCACAGTCAAACACGCTGCTCACACAGCAGCGCAGCACGGCACTGTACACACAGCGGAAAGAGCCTGTGTTGCGTTCAGGCGTTGTCACGTAAATGACAAATTCCAGCACGCCATAGCACAACACAGCAGCATGTCACGCGGGCCGAAACCGAGCAAAATTGCACAATTTTTCATTTTTTATTATATAGTTTGTTATGGAGTCCGTGATTTCCCTGTGATACTTACAAATGTTTGCGTAACTGTGCTTTGTTGCTTTATGAGGCTCTGGTGGCTTTTTTTTTTTTTTTTTTGACCTCTGGTGGCTTTCAGTTGTCTCTTCGTCTTTAACGTCACTCGGCTCGGCTTTCTCTTGCATGCACTCTTCCTACTTTTCTCTGTGCTGTCTCAAGTGCTGATATAGATTGGTCGTGTTGCCACGGGACGTGGCGACTTTAGCCTCTGTCACACAGAGGGCGATTTTCGCGGCGCCCACCGCAGGTAGGACGCAGAGCAAGACAGGATTTGGGGGAGTACAGGCTCGTTCAGGAGCTACAGCTCCGTGGTGACCACTTCCGGGTCTACTTCAGGCTCTTCTCTGCTATTGGACGCGCGGAGATGTCGTCACAGCGCATTGCGGCGAAATTAAAAAAAATTTCAATTCAAGTGCAGGCTGGCGGTGCGCAGACACCGCGGCATGCGCCCTCTCGCACGCCGCTCAGCTCGGCGGCAGAGCGGTGCGCTCTCGTGCCACGGTAGCACATACACAATGAATGGGTTCGTCGGCGGAGGTCTGCGCTTTGTGCACTCTGTGTGAAAAGGGCTTTTAACTTTTAAACTTTTACACAGCACGTCTTAAGCAGCCTTCACATGATAAGAACAACATGCTTCGCTCACCACCAGGTGCGGCACAGAGGTCAGAGGTAAACTCGGTCAAAGTTCAAATAATTTCAGCTCTGAGCGCAGTGCTCGGGGCGAAAATCCGAGCGATGCGCGACGCCAAGGGTAGCGGTGCCGCTTTGTCAGACCACCCTCTCCATACACAAACAATGGGACAGCCAGCGCAAAACGGTTTTACAGCTGATCATGTGTAGAGGCCTTTACTGTTCACCGTCGCCGTACCTGAATCCAAAGTATCGCCATATAAAAGACGTTGGGTTTTTTTCGCCACCAACTCAGCCTCTTCTTCAGTGTCTGTGTTGGTCAACGCTGCACGCTGGGTGGTCACCTGACCATACGTGCTACACACACCAGGATAGCTTGTGGACATGATGTCAACAAACTCCACACACTACAGGAGAAGCAGTCACGTTCACAGGCACACACGTTAATATTTATTTACATTAAATCGCAAATCGCAGCCTTTTATGCGGTTATGTAATCGCACAGCCTGACATTAACACAGATTAATCGTGCAGCACTAGTCCCCATGTTTGGTCCCCCCTCTGTTGGGGTACCTAGCACACAGATCTGGTATTAAAAGGTGGAGCTGTGAACACTGCAGTCTGATTGGTCAGTAGAGGACTTTTAGTAATGGGTGGATCTTCTGATTGAGAGGGATTACTTCTGTATGAGCCTACACATGTTTTTTTTTTTTTTTTTTTTTGGTTTATATATCTTAGTTGATTGAAATGCATCTTGGGAAATGCAGGAAATCAATAATACCTGACAAAATCAGACAAGGCAGGTACAGCAAAAAGTAAAATTGCAACAATGACACGACAACACAACTGATTTATAACTCTGTAAGTGTATCTAAGGGTGAAACTCCCCCTGATGTTCACCCCACCTCCATTTGCATAGGTGAGTCACAAAAGGAGAAGAAAAGAGAGGAGCAAGATCAGAGAATCGAGCGAGTCGGGCAAGGAGAGGGAGGAGCAGTATGAAAGAAGAGGTGGGGAGATCAGAGAAAAACAGTTGATGGATTTCCTGTCTGAATAAATGAGGAGGTGGGAAGCTGTTTGATCAATGAGCTGTCTATCCTCTCCTCACCCCTCCATGCCCCGGCTGGATAGAGTTTTCACTACACATAAACAAAACGTAAATGTAATTTTCTCAATTCAAACATCTCCTGCGGTCTGTGGATCCCATGTGTTAAAGGACAATTAATAATGAATAAGGCGCCCCACACACACACACACACACACACACACACACACACACACACTCATTTGCAAAGTCTTACATAAAGTTTTGAGGTATATTTGAACATTTCTAGCGTGAGAGAAGCAATGTGTTTTTCATATACATGCTCCAGTAAAGCACTTCACTATATCAGCTTGTTTGTTGTGACTTTAGTTATAAATGAATAAATAAATGCCGTATTTCTCCTCATCTTTATCCCCTTTCATCTCCCTCTCACCTATCATCCAAATGATTCCCCTCCTATAAGCCTCCTCTCCTCTGCTAACTGCCCCATCTGTCTACCTCTCCCTCTAATTGTTCCTGTCCTTGCAAATGAGACATTCACCCCGATCCTCTTCTCATCCATATGGCTAACCTTCTAACTTCCCCCTGCACTGATCATCACCGCGCCTATAAATTATAACGTCCTTATTTTTGCCTCATCTCCTTCCAACGCTTCTCCTCTGGCAGCGTGCTAAAAAATGCAACAAACTATACACGTATGCACACACACACACACACACACACACACACACAGAGGCGCGGTTATGCTGTGATGTATAAAACATGCATATTTAAAAAATGGCCTCTAGAATATGCATGAATTTGAAGAACCATTCATGGACTTGCGACTGTGTATTGACGTTCAGTGGTTTTTGTGGGTCATGGTACTTAATGTGGATGTAGGCAGTCATGTTATATTATGTCACTTCTTGCTGCTAACATGCAAAGATCTGTGTACGTAGCAAGCTTCAAAGCTGTAGTTGGTAACGTTTATAAAATTAACTTTCTTGTTGTACTTCCTGAAACTGTCACTACATCCTGGCAGTAGTGCATGAGACAGATAGCCTGTGAAAAACAAATTTTGTTCCTCCTCCTCCTCCTCCTCCTCCTCCTCCTCCTCGAAGTGCTTCTGATGGCATTTGCAAGAATTCACTGCAGCTGAAGGAAAACAACCAATCAGAGCCAACGAGTCTGCAGCTGTGAATCATGTCAATCACTGTTCCTCTATCAAACTATCAAATTTTGTTACCGCATTGCCCATTTCTCACCTCAAATTCACAAACATATTTTAGTGTACTGTTTAGCTGTAAAACGAAAGTTTGCTCCGGCTGGTGTGCTGGGCTTTGTTTTGGCTCCACTGTTGTCAACATGGCGGCTGGGTTACACATCTAAACATGACTATAAATTTGTTTCTGAACACATTCGAGGCAAGAAACAGGCATTGCAGTAACATTTTTAATTCATATCAGGGCTGTCACTTTTTATTTAAAATTCAACTGTTTGTTCCAACATTGTTAATTTTCGATCTGTAAGGACCTGTGTGAATTTAAAATTGACAGTCTATCAGCACAACAGACCGCTTTAAGTAGTTTGCCTTGTGATCCAGCTGATGATCACGCTTGCCAACTCTCCCGATTCACGCGGAAGACTCCCAATTTTTAACCCTATCTCCCGCGATGCTCCAGGTCAGTAATTTCTCCCGCTAATCTCCCGATTTTACAGTGAAGGAAACAAGTAATATTGTGGGGGATATTTGTCGCAGTATCTGGCAACCCTGGCCTGCCTGAGCGTATGAGGCAAGCTGGTGACGTGACTCAGAGGCCGTTTACACGTACACGGTGATTTTGATAAATGGAGACATCTTCCTTCGTTTGTGCCCTTCGTTTACACGCAAACAGAGATTTCTCCTCTGAAAACGAGTCTTTCTAAAAACTCCGGCCAGAGTGGAGATTTTGGAAAACTCCGGTTGCGCGTTTGCATGTAAACTGAGATAGACGGAGTTATAGGCAGCCGATGTCACAGTATGCGCCGGAACTTGCGCCTGTGTCAAAAGTGCGACCCATGAGTGCGACCTATGTTGCTATGGTGACAATGGATACATGGAAGGCTTGAGCTTCTCGTTACACTGCCACCTACAGGTTTGGCATGCTCTTGTGTATATATACACGGGTAAGTGTAAACGAAGAATTTTTTGAAAACGGAGACGGTGAAATGTCCGTTTATGAAAATAGCCGGCAACGTGTAAACAGCCTCTAAATCACTCGCTGGAGGCAGTGATATACCAAGTAGCGTTGATACTGCCGGAAAAGAAGAAGAAGAAGAAGAAAAAGTCACTCGCTGGTTTCTGTCTTCTGCTCAGTTCAGCGCCCAGACAGAGATGGATAGAGCAAGAGAGATACCTGACACTCCTCCAAAGAAAAGAAAAATTGAAAAAGAAAAAAGAAATATGCTTCCAGATTCAACAAAGCGTGGACCGAGACCTTCCCCTGGGTTAGAGCCAGCCGGTGTCTGATGAAGGGCCTGTGCCCTAAACGTCACGTGGTGATATTCAGATTAAATCTTGGGAGCTGTATCTAGTGTGGGGACTCAACTTTTTCTACATTCCAGCCGGTGTTGATTTGCACAGTCAGTGGCACACACTTTTTAATCTGATGTGCAATAAATACTGCATACTAAATGCATTGCAGTGTAACCGCCTTATTATTTAGCCTTCTGGTACTCATTTCAACAATTGAAACTGCTCATTTTTTCATTGTCCTCAATGGTAAACAGAATCATTTATTGAATATCAAAGAAACAACATTTTCAGAACAAGTTTCCTCCATCAGGTTTAAAATACAAGCGAAGGAACCTTGTTCCTTGGGCCAATACACCGATGAAAAAAACATCTCCCTATTTTTCACAACCCAATGTTGGCAAGTATGCTGATGATGCTCTAAAATGTCATTATTAGCTTGACCTGCTGCATGTCCTCCTGACCTATCAATAAACTGGACTTAAGCGAGTATTGCTATTGTACAAGCAAATCCAACCTGAGTGAACAATCGCGACACCAAACTATTTGAGAAACAGTGTGTAAAAGTATTTTGAGTTCTACACCGTGGATGGAGAAGTAACGTAGTGTTATACTGTTTGTTGTGTTTTTACTCTACTATAATGACAAATTTTCAGATTCACCTGCTAAAATTAGATGACATTTGAATTTATTTGAACAAATTGAATGTTTCAAATTTGTCTGATTTTGATTTTTTGGAAATGTGAAAGCCCAAATTCATATTTGACGAGCGCTGGCGAGTTTGACCACAGTTCACAGGCAGTGACTGATTTGGAAGTACTTCAGTCAAATCAGATTTAGGCGTTTAATATGGATTTTCAACAATTCTTTGTTTTGTTTTGTTTTCCATATAACATTTAAAGGTTTGAACGTGGCTCAGCGGGACGTTCAGTGTGACAGCGGCATTTATGGTATATAATAACAAGCTAACTGAGCTAACGACAGTTCGGAAATATGCAACAACAGTTTTTGCAGACATCAGATATCAAACAAAAGCCAGAGTCTGTGTTGTATTAAGTGTCTGTGAGCTGTAAATTCACCACTTCCAAGCAGAAGAAAGACGATAATATCTCAGAGCCTTGTGGTGGAAAGTTTCTCCTCCTCTGTGTTGCTGCATCACGTCTGCAGCTGTCTGCACCAAAGAGTAGCGTAAAAGTCAAGAGCGCTCACTCCGCAGCAAAATCTGGGGACCAAAACTTCCCCAGCAGTACACTGACTAGTTGAGAACGAAAAGGAGTGCTCAACTTGAAGCAATCTCAGCCGACTGAGGGGTCTCTGGCTGACACATCGAACCTTCAACCTTTAAGGGGCAGCCCTACATGATTGACAGCTGCATTTGAGACAATTTTTTTGTTTTGCTCACATGCAGTGGATTCTTGCAGATGCCATTAGAAGCAATAGGAGGAGGCAGAGTAACATGATTTTTATCACAGAACTGACACTGTTAGCAAATATGACAAAAAGCTATTTCTATAAAAGTCACCAACTGTAGCTTTAAGCAGTAAATTAAAAGAGCACGTACATTCTTAATTTACGGCGCATTAACAGAAAGAAAAGAGAAGAAGAGAGAAACGCTCCTTACCTTGAGCTTCATCATCGAGTCCTGGCAGAGTTTGTCTCCACGGGCAGCAGTGACCTCGTCCAGGCCGATGAGCTTGGCCTTGTAGCGGACGCCATCACCCTTAAAACGCCTGATGAGAGCCGCCTCGCTGCGATCCTGCCCTGCAGACACACACACACACACGCTCTGCAGTCTACAGTACATCTTCCAGTCAAGGACCTCCATCTCCCTCAGACCAGTGCTATTACCCTGGGATCATCAATCACATGGACCACAAAAGACTTCAACAGTAATCTCACAAAAAACAACCATGGTGCAGGTCAAAGCTACTGATGGTAGCAACATCTTGTTATGTTGCTAAGTCAGATTGGAGGCTTTGGGGCATTGAACTGTGGTATCATATGAATGGCACCGGTCAATACACTCAGACACGTTAATCAATGAAAATTCAGCGGGATTAGAGTTAAAACTGTGACTGCTCTCCTCTCCGGCTACTCCTCCTGCGAAATAATGGTGTGACATTTTGTTCTTATCTCCGCCGTCTCCCTCGGTCCTCCCTCTCTCCTCCCTCTCTCCTCACCCTCTATTGTGTTGCGAGATTGTCGGCATTGTGCGCATGCATTAGTGAGTGTTGCGATGGCGCGGGTGTGTTGACCTTGCTCTTGTCCAGGAAGTCTGTATGTTATCTCCTGAAGTGACTACAACTACCACTTCACACACAATACAGAACAGAGAAAGAGAGACAGAAGAGACGCTCAAAAGGCTAAACTCTCTTTCTCTTTGTGTCGTGCTCTCTCTGTCTTCCTCCAATTCTGTTTCTCTATCTCTGACCTGCAGTGCGCAAATATTTCATCATAAAATATTGTATAGGTGAAACACTCCTGCATCTGTGTGTGTCTCTGCATCGTGTTTCTGAGTGTGTGAGCCAAAGACTGCAAGAGCGATAGTGAGAGGGAGAGGCATAATGATAATGCAGCATATTCAGATAATATATTGAGGCATTAGTTCTGTACTCTATAACAGCGTGACTCTTGGAAGGTCATAGTCGGAGTGATGGAGAGGTCCCACTCCTCCTCTCTTCGTTCTTCCACACTCCCTTCATTCACACAGAGTCCCTAAAGCACTGCAGTATCGTAGAAACAAGCCCTTTAACCGCAGGTGAGAGCATCGTGTTATATGGCTCTATTGAATCACCTTTGTCCGACACTAATCTCCCACCTCCCTTGGCTTTTGTCTGCCGGCCTGCACATGAACACACACAAACATGCCCATCTTTAAATGCATTACATGAATTGAATTATATTTACGTTGGAATTTCTAGAGGTTGGACGATGTTTAAGGACATTTAAGGCTACAAAAGGCCTCATTATGAGAGGAATTACAGGATTCTAGTGCTGGATTGGGCCTTGCGTTCATAGCCCTGCACTATAGACTGTATAATAAAGACAGACGACATGAAAGCTCCAAAAGAGTGAAGCTAAAACATCTGGATAATCCTCTGGTGGCTGGCTGCAGCACAGGTCATAAACCCTGCCCCCTCCATGTTAGCGGATGGGACATGGGCCAAACTAAAACATCAAAGTAAGGGTCAAATTCATTTTTGCCAGTTTGGGTAGGTTTAATCACGCTGCTGTATGTTCAGGTGTTCCTTTTCCTGATGAGTTTGGTTTTAATTAGGTATTTGATGCTATAAAAAAAAAGGGTTTGACATCATGGCTGACAGCTATGTGTGCCAATCAATGTTCTCGCAATCAATAGCTCAGTAGGGGTGTAACAAGCCATCAATCTGGATCGATACATCAATTCAATGATCTACTATCCATCATCATTGATGGAAAGTGAAAACATCGATCGATATCATCTTATAGGACATGCTTTTATTTTGAAAGTCTGTGTCACTGTCAAGATGGAAAGCAGCTGAGAGAAAGACAACGAGGATAACTTTATTTATTCAGTGGAAATATTTTGGGTTTCGGAGAAATTAGGGGTCAACAGACAGAGCACATGACGTACGTAAACAATGCCATTATGAGATAAAACACAACATCTCCGCTAACTTCCCAGTACAGCGACATTAGCTGCTGTTTCAACAATGTTCAGCTGAAAAGACGTGCATGCAGACTGAAATTCAACCAAGCTGTTCTGTCGGGAGATGCAGAGACTTGAATCAATATCATATCGTGGCAGACTTTGTAATATCTGCAAGTATTGTATCATTATCCAAAAAATCGATATAATATCGTATCGTGATGAAACTGGTGATTTACACCGCTTTAGCTCAGTGGCCGTATCCAGGATACTTTGGCTTTATTTTCCTACAGTGAGAGGAAGTGGAGACACGTCGTCCATCTATATATATATATAAAGCTTATGACCTGCACTGTGAAAGCAAACACAGCAGGTTTTAAAGTCCAAGGCTGCCGGAGATCATGTTTATTAAAATGTATTTGTCTGAAAATCTTCCCTGTCCCATGTGAAGGAAAAATGGGCAGACTAGTGAACAACACTTCACTCTGTTCTCCATTGATAAAAAAACAATGCCTACACACACACACACACACAAATATTGTGTGGCTGAGCTCATTCCTCTGAATCATTGAGCAGACACACACTCAGTCACAATCCTACTTAGAGTAAATCATGACTGTCTGCCTCAAAGTCTTGGGAGACAAAAGAGCTGAAGAACATCTGTCCTTATTTTGGAGAGAGTGAGAGAGAACCGCTCTCTCTATTGTGTGTCAAGTCTCAGTTGGGCTGAGATGAGAGTAAGTGATTAAACCACCGGAGGATTGTTTCTGTTCGACGCAGGGACGTTTGAAGACATTTAAATATTGCCTTCATTAAAGTTGAAACAGTCCCGTGAAGTGTGCACACAGGCGAGAGCGCTCATAAACAAGCATGTTCACTCAGCGGCTACAATGACCCGCCATCTCTCTCCCCTGTGTAAGGAACATGAGTCCACTGCTGTGTGTAAAGAACACACTCATACTGAACAGTACAGTATAACTGTCACATCCAAACACGAGTCGCCTGTCTGGAAAAACCACAGCTTCAAATCTCTTTGACTGCTTGTGAAAACAAACCAGGAAACTTTAACTTAATATTTGGGAAGAAGTTCCATTTTTATACAGCCAGTCAGAATTAAAGGTGCCCTGTGGAGCTTCCTTGTAAACAAACATTCAGTGTTACTCACAAAAACACATTAAGTGTGCCACCCAGGTCTAACAATGTGCTGAGTGCATTGCGTGCCTCATAAAACATTTGCAAAGCCGATTGTTAATATTTTAAATTGTGCTTAGTTTATGTTTACTTGCAGCCTTTTTCTTCCTTGCCTTTGTTAGCACACAGATATATAATGGTATGAAAATTTCATATCACGATGGCGACCAAAATTATTACAATTATCAGTATTATCAGGGTGTTGTTAAAATGTGCTGAAGAGTACCAACACACATGCTGAAATAATTTCACCAGGTTATATATTGAAAACCACAAATAAAATCTGCAGTAGTTTCTGTTTACGTTAACATTTAAATAATAACAAAGCCAATACTTTGTGTAGACATTCATCCATCCATTCAGGTCGCGGGGGCAGCAGGCCGAGCAAAGCATCCCAGACATCCCTCTCCCCAGCAACACTTTCCAGCACCTCCTGGAGGACCCCGAGGTGTTCACAGGCCAGATGAGATATGTAATCCCTCCAGTGTGTTCTGGGTCTGCCCCGGGGCCTCCTACCAGTGGGATGTGCCCGGAGCACCTCCAGCTGGAGGATCCTGATCAGATGCCCGAACCACCTCAACTGACCCCTTTTTACCTAAAGGAGCAGCGGCTCTACTCCGAGCTCCCTCCAGATGTCTGAGCTCCTCACCCTATCTCTAAGGCTGAGCCCAGACACCCCACAGAGGAAACTCATTTCAGCCGCCTGTATCCATGATCTCATTCTTTCGGTCACTACCCAGAGCTCATGACCATAGGTGAGGGTTGGGACATAGATGGACCAGTAAATTGAAAGCTTCGCCTTCCGGCTCAGCTCCTTCTTCACCACGATGGACCAGTGCAGCACCTGCATTACTGCAGAAGCCGCACCAAACCGCCGATCCATCTCACGCTCCATTCTACCCTCACTCCTGAACAAGACCCCGAGATACTTGAACTCCCTCACTCTAGGCAGTAACTCTCCCCCAACCCGTGGGGGCACCATGGCCTCAGATTTGGAGGTACCGACTCTCATCCTGACCGCTTCACACTCCACCCCAGTGCATGCTGGAGGTCACGGTGTGATGAAGCCAACAGCACCACATCATCTGCGAAAAGCAGAGATACAATTCTGAGGTCCCCAAACCGGACCCCTTCCTCCCTCCGGCTGCACTCGAGAAATACGTGTAGACATATGAAAACCATATCAAATGTGTATTAACATTAGAGATAGCCTGACTGTGAAAGGCATACTCGAGTGAACGTGTCACTGCAGATGAAGACAAAGACAAAGGAGGTGACATCAACAATGTGCTTTTACAAAGAGAAGCATTCTACATTTTCACCCTCAACTCCCTCTTGGAGTTTGATCTTAAACCTTTTGCGATTGGATAGATCTTTAAAAAACAAAACATTTTCTTTGGTATAATTAAAATATTTATTTTTATTAATGCCTTTATGAATCTGAAGAAAATATCAATACCATTTTTACCATAGCTGCCCCTAACTTTGAAGTAATTTATAAAATGTTGTTAGAAATGACATGCACTCATCTGAGGATAAATTTCTTCATTGTTATATCGTCTGCAGGACTTTATAATTGAGTGAATGAATGTACAGTATATCTGTGTGTTAAATAACAGTGGATGTGTCCAGCTGCTTGTGTCTCAAGGGAACAGCAGTTTTCATTTGAGTTTGACATTTAAGACCTGCTCCCTCCATCTGCATCCATCACCATTACTGCTGCTATACTTAGCACACCGAGGGAGAGAAACGCAGAGAGAGGGAGAAGTCGCGAAAGGCCAAGAGGGGAAGACAGAGAGAAAAGGGTAGAGGGGGTCCAGGGTTACTTCTCCTGCTGAGTGGTTTATATTATTACCTTTTGGGAGCATGTTCCATGAAAAGCCCTCCCTGTGAGTGTGTGCATGTGTGTGCACGTGTGAGTGTGCGTGTCCCTGTGTGTCAG